CGAGGGACTGTCCACGTTATTCACCGGTGAAAAAAAAAAAGATGAAAGGAGAATCTTAAAAAAATAAAAACACTTCATGGCTTTTATTAAACTGAATGTGGGCGGAGCTGCAAATCAGCCGATTCCCTAAACTGGACACTTAGAAGGCTTTTCCCCATAGTTCTCCTCAGGGTAACGGGAGGACACAAACTAGCGTCCTCCCGTCACCCTAAGCTCAGTATATAGGGGGCTACAGCTCGCGGTATACTGAGACGCCGCAGCCGGGGCGGATCCCGACAATTATGCCGGGATCCGCCCAGCTGCGTGAGTGACAGCTGGCTCTGCCTATCTAGAGGCACAGCCAGCTGTACCCGCCCCCTCCCCCGTCCGTTCCGCCAGTCAGCGCTGGCGGAGCGGGGAGGGGGGAATCCAGCCCCTCCCCCTGTCACGGCAGAGAGCCGTGACCGGATCGAGAGGTGAACGAACGCCGGTATGTGTTCGCTCACCTCCCGATCTACTGAGCCGACCTGTGACAGCCTCATTGTCACACGTCGCCCCCAACTATGAGGCTGAGTGAAAATCCCCTCCCCCCTCATAGTTCTCCTTTTTAAATGATTCCACATGTGACCTGAAGACCCCAAACACAGATTTTTTTTGTTTTTGTCCATAAAGAGATGTTTTCATTGGCAGGTTTTGGTGTAAATAGCAGAATATCCATGAAAAGGAGAATTGTGTGTGTGCGCCGCCCCCGTGTGGCCAGAAGTGTAACTGCACCGGAATAAAATTCAGGCGTGTGCAATGTAAATGCTCCCATAGGGACAACGTTCACCCACGAGTCCCCGCGCTGATTGTCTGGATAGGAGGAGGCAGCTCCCCCCGTAGGAGTCGGGGAAATATTTGGGGGATAGAGGTGAGACATTTACGCATGTAACGCTTCCGCATTTTCTATCTCCTGACAGTGCTGAGCCTGCAAGACCTTTGCTGCCGAGCCATCGTCTCCTGCACCCCCGTCCACCTGGTGGACAAGCTCCCCCTCCCGGTTGCCTTACGAAGCCATCTCAAGTCCTTCTCCGTGGCCAACGGACTGAACGCCAGGATGATGCACGGCCGCTCCTACTCGCTCACCGCCAACAACCTGAACAAGAGGCACAGCCTGAAAAAAGCCAAGATCATCCGTCCCCCCCAGAGCCCCCCCAAAAACTGCACCAGGAACAGCTGTAAGATCTCCTAGGCGGGAGTGGGGGGGACCCCGCCCCCAACCCCCGTGCTGAAATTTGCCCCTCGAGGCTGTATGGAGGCGGACACGCTTTGCCGTGGAGGCGACGCCGCGACGTCCCTCGCGTCACGTTTTCATGGACGCGGGAAGACTGGCGCAGGCTTTTTTTCTGAATTTTGCTGCTTGTGAAGGAGAAATGTTCTGAGGAGGACTTTGTGATCACTCGCTGTGTCCATATGCATGGCCCCAAATCATAAATATTCCCCTTTTTTTTATGTTTTTGTGCTGAAAAGGGAAATCCGTCCAGCGATCTGAGCTTGTAACTTTGTCAGTACTTACCATGCAGTTTGCCGTGTGATTCGTGTTTCCCTTTCTCAAAGGTAAGTCTGCGCGCAAAGAGCGCCGCGTACAACAATGGCCGACCACAGGGCCATATTAAGTCTGCAGCCTCTCCCCCTTCCTGGACAGAGCCC